TAAACTGTCCCCTTCCATTGTTTTACAGAGGTGTCCGTTCCTAGGAACCCCTGCAGATTAACAGCCCCTAGTGAGTCAGCACCTTGAGGATGTCTGGCCTTCTAATTTATCAAATTAGCAGATAACATCCTCACTCTGAATGTCAACGACCCTTGGATACTACATGCTGCATATTACAGATTAACAGAACTAAGTTCAACTTATAAACTCAGAGTTATGCAATTCTACTGCTCTTTGATGAACCCTCAAAGTTTAGCTTAATGATTACATAATATAAAACAGTTCAACTTATCATAATTTTTGAAAAGGAAACTAAAAGTGTCATCACTTCCAATGAAACAGATATTAAGGTGTTATTTATATTAGTGTTAGTGATCGTCCGGCTGTTGGAATTAAGAGCTCTAAAAAAAGTGAGTCCAAATTAATGCTGTAAAGGAAGCACTTTCTTTTCATTGTTTTTCTTCGTTAAAGTAACAAACAAAAATCGTTTACAGATTTTCATGTACAAGGTAAATTAAAGGACATAATTAGTGCCTGATATTTTATTTTATAGGCAAGAAACTTCATTCTTTCTGTGACTCTCAGTCAGTGCTCTTTAAATTTAAACATTCAGCTCATTATTCTTTTTTTTTTCATTTACTCTCTGCCGTCTGTATAGATTGATGTTAAGCACTGCTAAGCAACATCACAGTTTAAGAGCCAAATATTTGTCTTCTGTCCAAAATGTTCACATGGGGGCAATACAAAACTATAAAATCAAATTCAGAGGGCCTCGATTACGCTCTTTCAATTTCAGACTTGCCATATTAGTTTTATAAAAGTGATGTTAGTTCAGTTAAGCTATTTCTAATTTATGAACTGTCTGTGAAAAGCTTAGAAAATGTTCCATGAAGTGATGTGCAGAAGGAGGAGGTATGGAGCAGGAGGATAGTTTACTCTCAGTAAGACATTTGCTATGGTGTCACTCTGATGGTCTGAAATACTTTTTTTAAATTACATATTTAGAAACTTGACATAAGGGTCCTCCAGCATTGATACTCGTAATTCTTCTTGGCAAATCACTTGGCTCAGATTTTATGTCCATGTTTACAGTAGATGTTCATATACTGTCTTTGGTATGCTCTTGTTTTTTTGAGAGAAATATTGAAATTTGGGTTCTAGCCTTTATATTATAACCTGGAAGTTGCTATTTGTGCATTTTATTAAACAAGCATCTTGAATATTCCAACAATTAATTCACCTGCTCGAGCCATATGGAGATTTAGGTACATGTGTCTCTGAGACCAAAGAACAAAAATGAGAGCCAATCTCTCTTATCTTAAAAAATATTGAAAAAATAATAAAAAAAATTTTGATGTTTTAAATGGTTTTCTTTTGTACATTTTTACTTTCTATATTCTACAGACTGCTTTGTAGATATATCTCTTTTTTACAACACAAAATATAGAGGTAACAAATCCAGCATTCATAAACTGTGAATGTTAACAACTATTTGACGATATTAAATTCCTTGACACTTGAAATAAAACACACTGAAGGAAAGATTAAGTTTAGAAAACAAATCCTATTAAGTTCTGTGTAAAAACTACATTATAAATAAAATTACTTTGAATTTGAATTGAAATTAAAAATAACCATAAAAGCTTATCCCATGAATGATATATTTCTATAATATTGAATGTAAAAAAAAATAGAAAAAAAGAAGCATTTATATCACAAATAAAATCTCTTAGGATAAAAAAAAGGGCTTTTGTGTAGCTAAATGTAACATAAATGATAAAGAAATGCTAAAAACAATTAAATTTGAACAGTTTGAAAACTGATGATATGAGTAAAATCCATCTTAATTCCACAGGTTGGGTATAACAAGTAATTCTGAGTTTTGGAGGTGTTACATATGAAATATTAAAGATCAGAAGTTCAGACTTGCAAATGAAAGGCACTATTTAATACCAGTAGGGACATCACACTAGTGCTAGCAAGCTGTTTTTTTTTTTTACCCTGAAGGACATAATCCTATTTCTACTGTCATATGGGAGTGGCAGTCTAGTGGTTAGGGTTTAGAGCTTGAAATCCTGAGGTTCGGAGTTTGAGCCCCACTCCCACAGACCGCGACTCTGGGTCCGTAAGTAAGACCCTAAATCCCACACTGCTACCCGGACGCCGTACAGTGGCAGCCCACTGCTCCCCAAGGGAAGAAAAAAAATTGGACTGATTTTTAAATATTATTTCAGTTTAATATGGGAAAAAGGTCAGAATTCTGACATTATTTCTCAGAATTCTGACTTTAATCTCAAAATTCTGACTTTTTTCCCTCAGAATTCTGACTTTAATCTCAGAATTCTGACTTTTTACTGACTTTAGTCTCAGAATTGTGGATCTTAATGTAGATGGGCACCACGAAGGAAGAGGTGTGGGAGCACTCAGCTTCACTGACAAAGATGTGAGTTGTTTTGGAGGGCCACTGTGAGATGTGAGTTTAGGAGGGCCAGTAACACATTGGTGGAAAATGATGGGATTAGGCGACTTTTTACGTGCCTGAGGGGTCCCGGTGGTGCTATTTCATTAATGGAAGAGCAGAAGGTGATTAAAACAAGAGAACTAGTTTAGTCTTTAAAACAGACATGGATACAGCTTGATGCTAACATGCAGAGGCGTGCACAGACATTTTGGCGGGCAGGTGCTCAGGAGGGGGGGAGGGCACTTTTTAGCGCACGTGTAACACTTAATTATAAAAAATAAATAAACGCATGTTGAATGAAATTTGACTTTTATTTGTAACATTCTCTAAACGTGAGTTTTCAATGGAAAAAAGTCACATCACCAACAGAACAGACTAAAGCATACTTCTTTCATCTGGCTCATCTCCCTGTTTTCCCTCACCCATCTGTTCTCCCTCATCCTGGTCTTTTTCTGTCTCTGTGTCTTCCCTGAACTCTTCCTCATCTCCTGTCCTGTTATATGTTGATGGTATAGAGCTTCCCTGCTGTGACTGGCTACAATATATTAATAATAACCATCATGACAATAATAATAATAATAATGATAATAATAATAATAATAATAATAATAATAATAATAATAATAATAATAATAATAATAATAATATTAGCTTTAACAAATATGCCACATTAGTTTAAATAATGGGCTATTAGGGCAACATGACTGGAAGTCTTGTCACGTGGATATGACTTATGGTAGCCTACAAAATAATAGCTATTTTAATACCTGCTGCACAAACCACGTAAAAATAAAATGTGAACAGCTTTTAAGATTTTTCAATATGATTAACCCTCCTTTCTTGGCATTGTGCTGCAATTACTAAATCAATATACAATTAAGACAATAAAGAGACCAAAATGTGTTAATTTATGTTGCCTAACCAAACCTATACAACAGAAAACGTTTGTCTTAACACATAGATTTGTACAGAAGAGGATTAGGGCCACTGAAAAAAAAAAAAGTTAACTGATTTTTAAATTTTATTTCAGTTTAACATAGGAAAAAAGTCAGAATTCTGACTTTTTTATTGTCAGAATTCTGAGATTAAAGTCAGAATACTGAGCAAAAAGTCAGAATTCTCAGCAAAAAGTTAGAATTATGAGAAAAAAGTTAGAATTATGAGATTAAAGTCAGCATTCTGACTTTTTTCCCATACTAAACTGAAATAAAATTTTAAAATCAGTTAACTTATTTTTTTATTTTCAGTGGCCCTAATCCTCTTCCGTAGATTTGCAATTGCAAACTCTACCAAAATTATTTGTAGCCTATGTGGTCGTCCTCACGTTATCTGTCATTGACTTGGGCTACAGTGTAAAACTTTCAGAATCAGAATCAGGTTTATTGCCATTGTTAGTGAAGGAGTTCACAAACTAGGAATTTTTTGTTGTACAATCGTGCAACATAAAACATATAATATGGAATAGGTAAATAAAATTATAAAAATATCTAAAAACTGTGGGTATACGTCATGCAATAAAATAGACTAATGTATACACTTAAGATAAAAAATATGGATACAAAATATAAAAAGTAAAATAGCATCTTACAAGGAGACAACTAGTTTATCTGGTGACCAGTCGGCAAAATGCGTGTTTGGTGCTGCTGAATGAGACATTTTAATGCTCAACAAAATGATTCTGCTTGATCTGTATATTACCTGGCTAATGGGGCACGGCAGAAGCAGCCTGTCAGCGACCGTTCCTGCTATCTGAAAACTGCTATGATGCTGCGCATCTGGCATGCCCTGCGGGCGACCGAGCGAGTTCACGTGACAAAGGAAGAGAGAGAGGCTGGTCGGGTGTGCGCAAGTAGGTCGGTCATTTCGGGGCATTGTTTCAGTCGTTTTTAATGGCTCAGGTTTTCAAAAGATAATTTCAAAACCGACCTCAGTAAAATCTTAATAATATTAATAATAATAATAAAAAAAACGAGTTTCAAAAGGGCATTTTCTTTGATAGAGGGCAAACTTCCTAGTGCTTTAGCACCACCTAGTGTCTATGTGTGCACGCCCCTGCTAACATGAATGTTAGCTGTCAGAATTCAGTCAGAATTCTGAGATTAAAGTCAGAATTCTGAGATTAAAGTCAGAATTCAGACTTTTTTCTCATAGTATACTGAAATAAAATTTAAAAATCAATCATCTACTTCCGTAGATATTACAATTTCTAAAAAGTTTCTTTCCTGACACTGAGGCAGCCATTGCCAATCAGTGTCTCTCAGTCAGTTTTATTTGGTGGCATTTTTACATTTTTGTCAAATCCTTTAACTGTTACATCTCCAAAAATATTTCCCAGAATGATTCATATTTAGCTTAATTAATTTAAAGTCAACTGTTTCAACAGTTTTACACGTCAAACTTTAGTTTTTTCCTCCCTCCCTCTAACTTGATTCAGTCCAATCCGAGTTTTTTCCGGACTCCACCTCCGTGTTTTCTCGCGGCCTCACTTCCGCCCCTCTTTGGATCCACTCCGGGCTTTTCTTCCCGCCTAAAACCGATCTTGCTGCAGGGAGGAGCGACTGGGGTGCAGCGGAGAGATGAGCTGAGCATCACAGCCCCGCATTCAAGGAAACGGACTATCACAGCACTTGTTTTCTCTCTCTATGTATTTATTTGTATAACTCCCCGCTGTGTGTTCGGTTCCGTGAAGCTCCATGAGGTGAAACATTATCTCTCAGAAAAGGAGCTCGATGTGAGCAGGTTGTCTCTGAGGAGCGGGGGATCTCTGCCCAGTCAAGGAAGACCCCCTCAATTGTTTCCTGCGCCAAGAACTGTAAAGACATGGTCATCACAGCGCATCTGTGGTAAGACAGTCTGCTTCCCTCTGATTCATAGCAGCCTTAAAACCAACACTTATGTCTTCTTAATAACAGCATTATTAGGAATGAGGATGAAGAGCTGCTGTTTTTAGAGCCCAGCTTGTCATCCTTTTTCAGTGAATCATCGAGGACCATTCCAACATCTCTCATTTAAGCAGCTGCTGGGATGCTTAAACTCCAAACATCACATTTTAACAATCTTTAAAAAAATACAAACATTAATGCTCTTTATTGGAGTAACAAAGCCCAGGACAGAGGAACTCTGACTTTGATGATGTAATGATGATGCGTCACTTATATTTTTTTTTCACCCAGTCCTGCATTTAGTTCCCCACATATCTGCCATTTAATTAATAAATATCATTATTCATCTTTTATAATAAGCATATTCACTGTGAGGCAGTTGCTTCAATGGTAGCTAATTTAAAAAAAAGTTTCAGCCCACACTATCACTCAGCCTCCTGTTTTAACTGAAGGTCAGCCAGTGACACTGCAGTTAGTCATCAACAATAGGAAAGCTTTTTGTAGTTTTTGACTAATCCCTTGAATAGCCGCTTATTCTTTCAGGTAGAATGGATTTCCTAATGTCTTGGACAACCCTACCTAAAAAATAAGCTGTTTACTGTATTATGTTTTTCAGTCATAGTGGAAGGCCAGTGCTAAGACATAGACACTAGTGTTACGTATGTATGAGTAAAAATGCCCCCATATTTGCATAAAAAACACAGTATCTATCTATCTATCTATCTATCTATCTATCTATCTATCTATCTATCTATCTATCTATCTATCTATCTATCTATCTATCTATCTATCTATCTATCTATCTATCTATCTATCTATCTATCTATCTATCTATCTATCTATCTATCTAAAGCAATAATCCTTCCTGCTGTTGTCTGTTATTGTAGATCTGTCTTTAAAAAGTAGCACAAATATGAGAAGATGTTTTTGTTTAGTTAACCAAATTGTCCATACTGTCCTGTGTCAGTCGGGGTGCTTCTCTGTTAGTCTGTAATCCATTATGGTTTTTATTTCTGACCAGGAATATTTCCCAATCTGCCAAAAAAAAAATTATTCTAAGTGAGGGATAAATTGCAGGAGTCTTTTATCGGCCATCTGACCAGCAGTGTGCAGCTCTGGCAACTCTTTAAAGGACTTTCTGATGACAGTCTGATGCCATTTTAAAAACTTTGGTACACTTTAATAATTGTCACCTCACCATGGCTATGACAACCTTATACTAAGGTTTTGGTTTTTATTTTTTGGATGTTTGTACTATTTCTGTAAATATACTATTTACGGTATTAGCCCTGCGATGGACTGGCGACCTGTCCAGGGTGTACCCCGCCTCTCGCCCATTGACAACTGGAGATAGGCACCAGCACCCCTCGAGACCCCAATTGGGACAAGCGTGTTAGATAATGGATGGATGGATACTATTTATTATTTATAAGTATAAAATCCAAAGGTTTCAGTTTGGTGATTTGCATTTCCATACTGACCATAATATCTCTTTTTCAGTCCCTTTTTATCCTGATTTGGCCCCCTTTTTTTTCCCCCAGAGATCATTGTAAATTCTTTCCACTAACGACCCAAAAAAAAAAAAAAATCTGTAAGCTTTCATCATTTCATCTTCCCCTTTTTTTTGCCGAATTTTCAGCATTTTCATACAAATTCTGACACTTTTCCCTTGTTTTCCTTTAATGTAAAGTTTTAACCTCAGTGGCATATTTAAGGATTAACAATAACTTGTGATAATCACGCGATATGGTCTGCAGAGTCACTGGACACAAACACAGATGCATATTTATGGTTTAAACAGACTTCATGATTTCATGTATTATTTATTGTCTTAATTTATAAACCAGTTCCTTCATGAACGATCTCATGTAACAAAAACCTTGAGCAGAGATGCGTAAATTGTTCTCGGCCTTGTGCCGCATCACAACTCTAAATGAGGATCACTAGGGATTGGCAGTTATGATATCCTTTTATATAGAAAAATTATACATTTTTATAAAAATTGTAATTTATTGTGTTTAAAAGAAACCTTTACCACACATAACTGTTTGAGACTTAAACCACTTCACCATGGCGACTCTAAAAATCTATTTTTTACATGCTGTGTTGCAGTAAAGTTGTGCTACTTATGTAAGTGAAAACCCCAAAGTGACCTGCTTAATAAAGAGTATGCCATGTTTTTAGGCGCTCTATATGTGCTTGTTGAATTCTAACCATATGCAGTCACAGATGTGACAACAAGAAAAACACAAGCCTTTAAAAAGCAAGACGGGGAATTAATTTGGAGTAGAAGTAACTTAAGGTCAAGATAAGAGAAAGCAAGGAGGCACACAGGAAGATGATGGAAAACAAGCTCCAGCTGAACAATATCAGAGATGTGTGGTCAGGCTTCAAGCAGATGGATGATCAGATAGATGGAAGTCTGTACAGAGCCAATGAACTGAACACATTCTTCAACAGATTCAGTTCAGGAACAAGCTCAGTTTCCTGCTCTCCTGCCCACAGTCACATGGACATCCTGCCTTACTTTGCCATTGATTCTCTTGCTTCTATGAGTTTGTTATCCGCCAAATCAGAAGATGGTGCTGCTCCCTCCGCCTTTCACCTGTCTGTCTCTAGAAGTCAAGTGAAGGGACATCTGGAGAGACTGAATCACAATTAGTCACCAGGTCCTGATGATGTGAGCCCCAGAGTCATGAAGGCCTGTGCAGAGAAGCTCTGTGGGATTCTACAGTACCTCTTCACCTCTAGCCTGACCCTGGAGACAGTTCCAGTGATGTGGAAGACCTCCTGCATGTTCAGCCAACAGTCCTCAGTGACTATAGACCTGTTGCCCTGACATCACATTCTATTGGTTCACCTCAGAAAACAAACAAACAGCTATCAGGACCCCCTGCAGTTTGCTTATTGCCATGGAGCTGGAGTTAGTTATGCCATCATACACCTGCTTCAACAAACCCACTGTCATATAGACAAGGCAGACAGTACTGTGTGGATCATGTTCTTTGGTTTCTCCAGTGCATTTAACACAATTCAGCCAGGCTTACTTTGTGAGAAACTTCAGAAGACTCAGGGGAAGGCTTCAACAATTGCCTGAATCAGACTACCTGACAAACAGAGCACAGTTTGTTAGACTGAAGGGTCAGTTTCTAATCAAGTAGTCAGCAGCACAGGAGCACCACAGGGGACAGTACTCTATCCATTCCTTTACTCCGTAGACCTCTGACCTCCAGTACCAGATTTGTCATCTGCAGATATAATCGGATGACTCTGCAGCCATTGGGTGCATCAAAGATGGACAAGAAGCTGAGTACAGGAAGCTGGTGAACTGCTTTTTTAAATGGTGTGGAAACAATAATCTGATCCTAAATTTGTAGATTTCAGAAGAAAGAGGAATAAGTTTAATCCTTTTAACATCAAAGGAGAAGTGGAGGTAGTGGAGGAGTGTATATATCTTGGTGTTTATCTAGTAGCACAGCTATCAACACCTACAACACCTGTTTAAAGAACATATGAGTTACTGCAACATTTAACTTCCCTTTGAGATTAATAAAGTTTTTTTTTAATTAAATTAAATGTGTTGCCAGGCGATGATATTGAGGCTAATATTAAGCTTAAAACGTTTTTATTATAATTGTTATGATGATGATGGGAAACAAAACCTGTGATTGTTCCTACTATAGTTTCCAACAGTATCACAACTGCATGTTTCCCTGGTGCCTTTACTTTCCACTTTTTATTTTTTTTATTTTTTGCAATCTAATTACCGGCCCTCAGGAACTGGAATAGCCCACCCCTGCTATTGATGGTACAGGAACTTGTAAAGAAAACTGTATTACACCCCGGTCTAGCGAGTGGCAGTGATAGACCAAAAGCAGCTGTAATTGCATCAACAATAGACTTCTTTAAATATATCTGAGCAATTAAACTTTATTTGATATTTTAGTTTCACACTGCTATATTCTTGCTTAATAACATATTTTTGTCACATAAACTGTAATATATGAAACCTTAATCACAGATTCATTGCTTTCATCCACTGCTGTGCTTCTATTTAAACTCTTTGCCTTTAATCCATGTTGGAGATTGGCCTGTTTTTCCAGTGTAGTCCTGTTTCTCTGACTGTGACTGGCTGGATGTGCTCTCTTCATCCTCTGACATGGGAGTTGGCTCGGAGCTCGTCTGCCTGGCTGTGTGTTTTCTGGACGGGGCCGCCTTTTACAGCTGCTTTTTGTATCACTGCTTCTGTCTCCTTGAACCCCAGTCGGCCTCGGCAGATGGCCGCTCACACTGAGCCTGGTTCTGTTGGTGTCATGATTGGTTTAAGCGTTCTGACCCACATGCAGAGAACCACTCAGAGACCAAGGAAAAAGGTTAAACAGGTTTATTCAATGTTGATGAAATACAGAAGTTGGATCAGGAACTCAGTGGACTGGTGAACCGGAACTGGAAAGTCTGAAGGGGAGATCACAGTGATCACACTGCAAAAAATATAAATCTCAATAAGTTATTTTTTCTTAAAATAAGTGTGTTTTTTCTTGATTTGAGGAGGTAAGTAAGACACTTTGCCAATGGAACAAGACAATTTCCTTTTAAAATAAGAAAAAACTATTTTATCGTCTTATTTCAAGTAAATATTATCTAACTATCTTATTTTAAGAGTGAAAATACTCATTCCATTGGCAAATCATCTTATTTACCTGCTCAAATTAAGGCTAAATATACTTAATTTAAGCCATTTTTTACTTATTTCTGGATTGTTTTTGCAGTGCAGTTCAGGGACCGTAGGAAATTTGACTGAGGCTTGAATATTACTGGATAGGGACTCAGGTTTGAGGGGGCTCTTGTCAAATCCTTGAAACCAGCTTGTGGGGGTTAATCCAGAGAAGAGGGAACTCGTTGGAGGGCGGACAGATAGACAAGCGTTGGACCCAGAGGAGTAAAGTAGTGGACTGTCACTT